TATAACAACCTGAATGAATGCCGTTTAGCGAAAGAGTATCAATCTTTCACATGCAGTTATTTGACTAATACAAAATGCAAATGTGAGTCCAGGAAAGTGTGGAGAAGGCAGCCGGGAGTGCACAAACAGAAGCTTTATTTACCTGAAGTTTCGGATGCCGCCGGGGATCCATCGTTATAGACAGAAGCAAATACGGGTCATTCACATACAGGGTGTCGCAGTATTTATAGGATACTCCCTATTTGGGAAAAACTCGTTTCTACTATTGTGTCTGATTATGTATCCACTAAGGAATCTGAAACTTTCGTGAGGCAGCCTGCTTCTGACATCCTCCCAGGAGTTCGATTGCCGTACCTTTTTGAAAGGGTGCATTGACGATTAGGGTCTTATTTTTCCGCACTAATTGTGGTGGGTTCCACTGGTTACCCTTTGCAATAAACGCCTCAGAAGAAAGCGTACTCACGAGGTAATACCTGGATCGAAAAACCGTTCTAGTCTTTTGCGCCATACATCGAACTGACGTGTTTTATTTGATGTTGCTCCCATATACATGTACTTGCCAGATGAGAAGTTATTGAAGGCTGACCAGCTTTTCTTTTAAATTAGAAAAGTTTCTGACGAAAAGGAAATCCGTTTTTTAAACATGTGGTCAGTTAGGTGCAGTATAAAATCAAGTTCATTATGGGCTCAACGCTTTAAAAATCCTTTTCAATAACGCCAGGTTCTTTGGTGGGTTTGGCTTCTTTGTGGGTTCCTCTAGGAACGATGCCTTAATTGTGTTGATGCGGTCAATAAAAACGAGGCGTCATTCGTTCCTCTGACACTGAGTGACTATTTTAGTCAAATCGTATCGCAAATACGTTTCTTGAACTGTATTGCAAAATGTTCGGTCAGTTTATTTCCTAATTTTACTGTAAAAAGTTAGTTTTGCGCGGGGTTAAATGTCAGTTAGGGCGGTATGCCAGATCGAATTGAAAACGATATATACAGTATTTAGTTCAAATAAACATGTTAATAAAAGGTTGCTAGTTAATTGGCCTAAGAGGCATAATATAGAATAATTAGAGACTTGGCATTTGAGGTCACTTTTCGCTGTTTTTTTACAAATTATTTTAATTTTTGTCCTTTCTGAAAGAAATGTACGAATAGTTAGTTTGATTTGTAATACGGAAAACTAAAACTGCTTCTGCATTGTTTAACTCCTTTCAAGTTATGCCTTAAGAACGTACTTTAAGAAGTCATGCCGCTTAAAACTTCATCGTGGACTGGATACTTCTGTTGTATATTCGTAACACTATTTTTAAAGCAATCATTGTTAAAATATTTACTTAGAATGTTTTTGGAAATAACGAGGTGCCAACTAGTATGAAGGACGGGTCAAACTATCGTACTTTTTGCAGAATATCTTCAAAAAAGATCTCAAAGTCGCCATGGAGATTCTAAAGGTCCTTCTTGACCACGGACGAAGAAAAATGGCAAGCATTCCAACAACGAGTTTAGAACCACTGACAGCTCCCAGATTGGTCGAAATCCCAGTTGTGAGTTTCGCACGGGTTTTTTTCCCCCATTTACTTTACGCGGCTTGTATTCACCGGGCTTTTATTAGAACGTTGTCGTTCACCACAGACAACTGCTCATTAATAGTTAGACATTATTTCTTGCTTGCATAATTTATATAGTCAGTCAGTGTATTTTGAGTGAATGGCCGAAGCCCTTAAATACGGCTTAAAGCGCATGCACTTATCCGCTCTCCGATTGGCTCCTGCTTGTAAGGAAAGACGATCGATCATTTTTTTGAATTCAAACCTCCTATGTATGGCCTGATGAGAATTTACCGAAAGTGTACGCTTGCCAAATGCTGTTCTGAATTATGCCAGAAGTGTTATAGGTAGCGTTCTTATTAAGAAATGCAGTAAACATGTAGGAAATATGAATGATTGAAAAAGTGAGGTGTTTGCAAAATAGCAGCGTAAAACACGTTCAATGCAGTTCGTTTATAGAATGTTCACCGGAGTCCACTTAAATGTAAATATAATGTCTGCTGAAATCAATTACGTAGCATGTTTGTAATCGCATATGTTGTCTGTTAGATAGGGCTTTGAATGTTTGGATTGACGTTTGAGACGTCTCTTGAACACGCTCACAGTGGGGGAATGCATTAAAGACGTTGGCAAAGAGTTCCACTGTCGAACGAACCTTTGAGAGAAGAAGAATGAGTGTTAATTCGTGCGACTTAGTCCCCTCTTCAACTGAAAATCATGTGAGAAGAAGAAGACTCGATCGCTGGGACAATATGTTTATTCGCCTGAC